GGCATAATCATGAGTCACAGTCCTCAGAGACTTGTCATCATCGTTACAGACAAGCCCTCTCTGAACTCATGAGTGTTCACAAAACATTGGGAAAGCTAGAATAGCTGGTCACGTTGACTTTGAAATGAATGGTCATGACTGCTCCCTTTTTGCTCAGGTTCTAAGTAGAGGTATTGACCCACATACGTAATTATTGCATGAGGTCCCACATTATAAAGCATGCATGAGATGCAGAAAGATCAATGTCTAATTTCCCAGTGTTATTCCGAAGAAAGGGAAATTCACATAGCTTTTGTGGGGTTAAATTTAAATTCGGCTTTACACGAAAAATAGATAAAATGTTTAAAAAAAGGTAAGAAAGAAGACTGGATTGGTGAATCGCAGAGAAAGATCTTACCTCATCAAGGTGGAAATCTTGGACAATATCCTGATGGCTAAGAGGCCAAATTGGGGATTATCGAGACCCACTGAATGTGGATAGAAGTAAGGAGCCTTAGGCAATCTATGTGGATTTTGGGTAGAAGGACAATAGTTATCCCTGGCACACAAATGGACTTTGGGATCACATTCCACAATGAAGGATGCTTTCTTAATTTGGACACTTGTGGGAGGGCCTAGGATCTCCGTGGAACAAAGTGAAAAAATCTAGAGATCCCCCACGGAGGGTGTAAACTTCCCTGGGGAATGTAGTAGGGAGTGGGTGGGGTACTGGGGAAGCTAGGCGGTGTAGTGGGAGTAGAAGTGAAGGAGAGAGAACTGGGAATGACATGGAAAGCAAGCTTGTTTCTAATTTAAAAATATAATAAAAAGAGAAACTAATGACAAATAAACTAGTGCATATTTTATGTAATATTACATCATGTTAATTCATATATAGACATGAAAATTATTGTGAATGATAAAAAGAAGTTGAGAGTATAGTTCCTATGGTTGGGAGAATGGGAGGACAGGAGGAGAGAGAAATGGAATTGGTATGTAAAATAAAATTGATTTAAATAGAAATGTATAAAATTATAAAGCATAAAAGAAAAACATCAAGAATGGAAAAGGGCATCCTCTAATAAATTTTAAGAGGAAAACAAGTTTGTGGAATTCATGATAATATATTCATTAGGAGAGGTTGCTATATTCATCTTCCTCCTCCTCCTGATCTCCCTTATATTTCATACTCATTGCTGTGACTTAACCACTGAGGTTGTCCTGTGTCTCAAAATCCATTTTGGTCATTTCAGTTTGTCAAGCAACTGTTGGAAATTTTTAGAATCTGGCATTGTTTATCCTACTAACATCACCTTTCAAGGATGTGAATCTGATAAGTTGTCAAGAGTAATATCTGAAGCATTTTCAGTACAGGTCTTGTAGTTTGTGTGCTTCTGTCTGGATGCAGTCATTCTATGTTCAATTACCATGTTTTTATTATCCTCTGATTTCCAAAAGTTCAGTTGAAGGAACGCACAAATAGAAAAATTTTTATGTAAAAATAATTCTGGCTAAATTGTCTGCTCCTGATCCTTCCAAGTTTATCGTTATACTCCACTTTTGAGAAGAAGTCCAGTACTATATTACCTCAGGCCTTAAATTGTCAAATACAACTTATGAGTGCTTTTCAATAAAAATATACTCATAACCACCACTTTAACATGTAAAGAAAACAAATAATTAAAACTCTGAAAGAACATTGTCAGATATCACAGAAAGATGAATCAAAAAAATTGAATATTTTACTGTGTTTTCCGTACTCATGGGTATTCAGGTCAAATGTACCCCTTCATATTTCTTTGAATTAGGGAGCAGGAAATGTTGGGAGGATATGGGAATCTGTGAAACCAAGTTTAAAGAAGAATGATATAGTAAATCATGGGATGCTTTATGGTTTAAGATGGAATATTCACCCTAGAATACAAAGCATGTGATTAAGGTGGTTAAAAGAGGTAATTGACTATGCCATTCACACAGAAGGGTCTTTTCAATGAAGAAGCACACAGGAATCAGTAAAATTAGATGATCTTTTCCTTAACTTCACAAGCAAATTCCAGGCAATGTGAATTTGAATGCCAATGGACTGAAATGGGATAAATATGACTAAAATTGTACGATCAAAACATAAGGGCCTTCCTGTTCACCTATGACCTACACTCTCTTCCACTTCTCCCCCTCTCTAATTCCCAGGAAGGTTGACTGGGGGGTAGGAGGGGGAAGAGGGAATCATAGGTTAGAAGACAAATCAGGCACCATTGTGACCTCTAGTGTTCTAAATGGATGACACCAATTGACAAGCTAAGCAATAGTGTAGAGACCACCTCGAATGACCATTCCTGATAATGAACTTGATGTCTATAACCATCCTGGAGCCTTCATCCAGTGACTGATGGAAACAGAGGCAAACACCCACAGTGAAACACTGAACAGAACCCAAGGAACCCAGCGACAGAGAGATAGGAGCAATGAGCAATTTGGCAAAGAATGGGCTGGCAAAACCAGCAGAGCCAGCTGATACGAACAGGGGAGAGCTTTTGGACACCAGACCGGCAGCCAGGAGATCCAGGCCCCCTGAATGTGGGAGTCAGTGAGGAGGTCTAGGGTACCTATGTGGTCCTGAGCAGTGGATCAGTGTTTATCCCTCGAATACTAACAGACATCATGTGTTCATAACACAAAGAGGGTTGTTCTCTCTGCCTGGACTCTTAGGGACGTGCCTGGACCCTACCCTAAGTGAAATGACAGACTCTTTATCTCCCCTATGCGGAAGGAATTGGAAATATGGTGGGAGGATGGGGGGGATAGTGGGAGGGTGTGGGAAGAGGGAACTGGGATTGACATGTAAAACAAGCTATTTAAATTTTAAATAATAATAATAATAAAGAAAGTAAAAAAAACATATGGGACAACACAGGAAAATCATTGAAAAACTATTCCATGTACCACGGAAGTCACAGACCCCCTGGTTCTGAACTCACCTGTCATAGTAAGGAGTTATCTGCTCAACAGAAAAGGATTCAATGCTTATCACTCCCACCTGAACGACAAGAGGTATTTGCAGTTCTAACCTACAACAAAATAGCAATAAGAAATATCTTGAATGGAGTTTTGTCCATACTACAGTGTCTATCTTAAATTGATAGATATTGCTGTCTTAAATCACAGATATTATAGGGCATTTATACCAAGATATATTTAGTCTGAATTGCTCCATACTAGGTGTAAGATGATAAAGAGAATATTAATATTTCTGTCAATGTTATAGTACATGTAAGGCACGAGTTCATTTTGTGTGTATCATCACTGGTTTCATTGATTGGGAACATACTCAAGCCTTGCACAGAGACAGAGTCCAAGATGCCATTCCTATCACAGGTATTAAAAAATTTGGCAATTTGACATATAAATGAGAAGGTAAGAATTTACTCTATAAAAGGAAGGCATTTTCTATAAGGACATGAAAAGCGCACTGCAATCTTGAATCCCCATGATGTGTTTTGTGTGAGAAACATGTACATAAGCCCTAGGCTAGATCAAGGTTCTCTAATGAACTTCCTTTCCATTAAAAATTGATATTTACACATATTCATTTATCACCTGTCATGCTCCTAAAGAATTCCTTTCATGGTATATTAGTGATGGATGAATCTCAATGATTTTGAGTGCAGGGTTTCTGTTTCATCAGTGTGACAAATGAGAAATGGAGTATTTCTGCTTAATTCTTTATGGTTTGTGTGCAACTACCTAGGTCTGTGTAATCATGAGGTGTATCTCGAATGCATAGATATAAATGAAGTGCTTTGAGGATGTCCAAGTTGTATCTATTTGGAACCTGTAAAGTGTGAGTATACAATATGCTCTTCATTAAATTCACACAATATAAAGATTTAAGATCATTCATCCCAAATTTTCGTACATGCACTCGTCTTTTGCTGTGTACCTCATAGTCAAAAAAGCACAATAAACTCCTTATGTTACCATGAGAGTAAACTGTTGGTGCTAATTCTGTCACAATGTGGAAGTGGATTGAAGTAGTGTCTGGATGGTGAGATACCCGCTGCCATCAATATATGTTCAAAATAAATGACAGAATAGCTTACATTCTAGCAACATTGAAAATTATATTCTATTGCTAGTAACTGAACACAGGAACAGCAAACTGTGGTCTCTGAAATGCTCAGTAACAGTGGCAGGAAAACCTAAAAACACTTCATTTACTCAATTTTGGAAAGTAGAGAGCAGGGCCCTTGAGACTGCTTCCACAATTTTCAGCTCTTTATTTCAATCTGGCATTAGTCAATGGCTGAAAAACTTGATGGACAGTTTGTTGCTGTTAGAATTACAGTTAGTGTAACATAAAGCAATAAATCCAATTACAAGATGAGTTTGCCACACAAAAATAATTGTTACCATGAAATTTGGGAGACAAAGCCAGTCAGCACAGTAACTTTTATGCATCAAAATGGAAGACTGCTTGCCACTTTGGGGAAACATTACTGTTGTCAAGAGCACCTCCCATCTGGAATCTCAGATTGGCATAATTACAAGTAAATCACAGTCCTCAAAAACTTGGTGTTGTCATCGATCCAGAAAAGTCCTCTTCCAACTCATGTGTGTTTCCATGCAATGGGAAAACAGAAAAGTTAATGGATTTGACTTTGAATTTAATGGTCATGAATGTGCAGCTGGCTTATTGCACAGGATACAACAGAGTTAGTGAACCACATACTGAGTTAAAACATAGTCTTCATTATCTTAAAGCATACATGATCAGAAAAAATAATCCATGACTTATGGGCCACCGTTATTCCTAAGAAAGAAAAAATTCACATGGATTTTATGGAGCTAAATTTAAAATATTGATGACAGCTTTAACAAAAATAGACAAAATTCTAAAAAGAAGCACATCAATAAAGAAGAAGACATCCCGTGCAAGATATTAATCAGTGCTTACTTCCCCATCCTGAAAGGTAAATGGCCAATGCAATTCCAACCTGGAAAAAAAAGTAGAAATAACATCTGGTGCTCAGATTGGCAGAGTTATGAATCAATCACCATCCTCAGAGACTTGTTGACATCATTGATCATGATAAGTCCTCTTTCAACTCATGTGAGTTTCCAATATAATGGAAAACTGAAGTAGATAGTGGCTTTGAATTTGAAATAAATCGTCATCACTGTGCAGCTGGTTTATGTCTCAACTTCTGAATAGGGTTACTGAACCACAAAAAGAATTAATATATAGGCTTCATTAACTTAAAGCATACATGAGCAGAAAAAAAGGATGCATGTCTAATTGGCCATCGTTATTCCTCAAAAAGAGAAAATTCCCATGAATTTTATGGGAATAAATTTGAAACATTAAAAACAGGTATTACAAAAATAGACAACATCATAAAAAATTTAAAAACACATCAATAATAGAAAAAGACATTCTCTAATAAATAATAATCAAAGCTTACCTCTATAAACTGAAGGGTAAAAGGCAACTGCAGCAAAATAGAAAAAATCATTGATTGGAATTTTACCAGTCTACTGTATCTAGCTTAATTGGTTAGAACAAGTTATCCACAAACACAGAGATTATAGAGGATATATATCAGAAATACATTTTGTCTGACTTCCTCCATACCTGGTGTAAGATGATAATGACAATGTGTTAAGAGAAAGGAGGCCTGAAGCTCTTTGCAATATTTCTGACCATATTTTTGTATAGGTAAGGTAGTAGTTCCTTTGGTATGTATCTTCCCTGGGTTTATTGCTTTGTTTGGTGCTGAAGCCTCACACAGCAATGGCATTCTAGATGTCATTCATGATACAGATATTTTTAAATATTTGGTTATATGATATGTATGTATATGTTGAGGTAAGAATTTATTATATGAAAGAAGGCATTTTCAATAAGAAAATGACAAGTGTACTACAACCTTGAGTTCCAATAATGGTTTATTTGTGAGAACTGTGTGCCAAAGCACTAGATTATGGCAAGGTTCTCTATTGCGATTCCTTTCCAATAACAATTTTTATGTACACATATTCATTCTACACATGGCATTGCTCCTAAAGACTTCCCTTCATGGTCACTCAGTGAAATATAAAAACAGTATTATTTCCTTTTTTGTATGAATTTCAATAAATATGAGTACAGGGTTTGTATTTGATTGGTGTGACAACTGAGAAACAGAATATGTCTGTGTCAGTCTCAAAGATAATTGTGCAACTATGGAGGTCTGTGTAATCATGGGTTTGAATGTCTGAGTGAAGTTCTTTTTGCAATACGGCATTGTATCTGATTGGAGTGGAAAAGGTATGAGTATGACAAAATTCTCTTCACTACATTAACACAATATTAAAAAATTGAAGATAATTCTCAACTTTTCAAACAAACAATTCTTTTGGGAAATGCACCTTATATTCAAAAAAGAACAATATTCTAAATATGTTACCATGAGAGTAAAATACTGGGATTATTCTGGAGAACTGGATTGATGTGGTGTGTATATGACAAGAGGGCTGCTGCCATCATGATATGTTCAATTTTAACTACAGAATAGCACATATTCTAGCAAAATGGAAGACTACATCCCATTCCTGGTAATTACGTCAGGAGGTACAAAGTGTGGTTTCAGATGTGCTCGGTAATGATGGAGCACATTACACAAATCCTACAATTTCTTACTTTATTCCAATTTTGGATAGTTACACTGCATGCTCTGTAGATGCTCAGTTACCATTTCTCTGCTTCCACAACATTTACTTCTACATTTCAGTCTGGCATTAATCAGTCACTTAAAAATTTGATGGACACTTTGTTGCTGTTGGTATTACAGTTAGTTTAAAATAAATTGATGAATCAAATTATAAGACACTTTTGCCACACACAAAAAAATGGGTTACCATAAAATTTGGAAGATAAAGCCACTCTGCACATTTATTGCTTATGCTTCAAAATGGAACACTGCTATCCATTTTGGGGAAACATCACAGTTGTCAAGAGGACCACCCAACTGGAGCTCAGAGTGGCATAGGTCAGGTCGATCAGCGTCCTCAGAGACATGTTGTCATCATCGATCCAGATGAGCCCTCATTAACTCATGTGTGTTTCCAATGTAGGGGAAAGCTAGAATAAATAGTGGCTTTAACTTCGAAATAAATCGCCATCACTGTGCAGTTGGCTTATTTCATGTTCTGAATAGAGTTACTGAACCATATACAAAATTAACACATATGCTTCATCACCTTAAAGTACACAAAAGCAGAAAAAATGATCCAAGAATAATTTGAAAGCATTATTCTTAAAAATGATGAAATTCAAATGGCTGTTGTGGGACTAAATTTGAAATATTGAGAATCAATATTACAAAAAATAGATAAATTCCTAAAAAAATTTTAAAAACATCAATAATGGAAAAAGACATCCACTAATAAATAGTAATAAATTTATACCTCTGCAGCCTGAATGGTAAGATTCCATTGCAATTCCAACCTGCAACAAATAGAAATAAAAAATACTTTGATTGAAATGTTTTCCAGAGAGCATTGCCTACCTTAACTAGATGTAGCACATTGTCCTCAAAAATAGAGATTATTGAGCGTTTGTAGCAAAATTAATTTGTCTGACTTCCTCCATACCTGCGATAAGATGATAATGACAATGGGTTAAGAGAAAGGACAGAAGCTCTGTTATATTTCTGTTAGTATTATACTGCAAGTAAGATACTAGTAACTTCGGTGTGTACCATAATTTGGTTTACTGCATAGGGTGGTGCTGAACCCTTGAACAGCAACTGTGTTCTTGATGCAATTCCTAATGCAGATATTTTACAAAATATTCATGAATTTGACATGGAAATGAGAAGGTACACATCTATTCTATGTATGGAAGGCTTTTTCTATAAGGACATGAAAAGTGCACTGAAACATTGGCTTCCATGGTTTCTGTGTTAGATCTCTGCACATTAGCACTAGACAATTGTAAGGATATCTATTGAGGTTCCTTTGATTAAAAATTACTATGTTTACATATTCATTCTTCAAATGTCATTGCTATTAAAGACTTCCTTGCATGGTGTCTCAATGAAACATAAAAAAATTATTATTTCATCTTTATTTGGATGAATTTCAATGAATCTGAAATTAGGGTTTGTGTTTGATCAGTGTGTCAACTGAGAAACGGTTTGTGTCTGCTTACTTCTCTTAGGTTAGTGGACAACTATCTTCTTCTGGGTAATAACGGGAGTGTTCTCCATATGCATGGATCTGAGTAAACTTCTTTGTGAAAGTCAGCTTGTATCTGTTTGGAATGGAAAATGGGGGAGTATGCAAACTGATCTTCATTAAATACAGACGTAAAAAATGGAAGATCGTTCTTCCAAATTTTCAGGAAACACATCTTTTGTGTTGTGTACCTCATATTCAAAAGAGGACAATATCCTCTATATGTTACCATGATAGTAAAATGTTAGTGTTTACTTTGTCACAATGAGGAAGGAGAATGATGGGGTTTCTGGAAGGTGACATGGCCTCTGCCATCAAGATATTTTCAATTTAAAATACAGAATTATAAATATTCTAGCATCAAGAAAAATTATATCCCTTTGTGGTAATTGGAGGAAGGAAGAGCAAACTGTGATCTCTGTAATGCTTAGTAATAGTGACAGGGAATCCTTCAATTTCCTCTTCTTATCCAATTTTGGAAAGTCACAGGCATTGCCCTGAATTGTTCAGTTATGATTTCACAGCTTCCACATCTTTTAGTTCTTTATTTATATCGAGCATTAGTAAATGGTTTAAAAACTTGCTGGACAGTTTTTTTCTGTTACTATAATTGTTAGTGTAACATAAAGTGATGTATCAAATTATAAGACAATTTTCCATACACAAAAAAATTGTTCACATAAAATTTTGGAGAATAATTCTTTCTGCACAGTTACCTCTTATACTTCAAAATGAAATAGTGCTTGCTACTTTGGGGAAACATCACCGTTGTCAAGAGGACCTGCCATCTGGAGATCAGATTGGCATAGTTACAGGTCGATGACCGTCCTCAAAGATGTCTTGTCATCATCTATCCAGATAATCCCTCATTTAACTCATGTGTGTTTGCAATATAATGGAAATCTAGAATAGATAATGGCTTCGACTTTGAAATAAATCATCATCACTGTGGAGCTGGCTTATTTCTAAGGTTCTGAATAGAGATACTGAAACACATACAGAATTAACATATAGGCTTCATCACCTTAAAGCATACGTATACAGAAAAAAAAAGATCCATGTCTAATTGGCCAACGTTATTCCTATAAAAGAGAAAATTCTCGTGGATTTTATGAGACTAAATTTGAAATATTGAAAAGAGGTATTAAAAATAGGTAGAATCCTAAAAAAATTAAAAATCACATCATTAATGGAAAAAGAAATCCTCTAATAAATAGTAATAAATGTTTACCTCTCTAACCTGAAATATAAAAGTCCATTGATATTACAACCTGCAAGAAAATAGAGATAAAAATACATTGATCTGAGGTTTCTCCAGACAACTGTATCTTGCTTAATTGGATAGAGAAAGTTGTCCACAAACTTAGAGATCATAGGGGATATATACCAAAAATAAATTTTGTCTGACTCCCTCCATAACTGAGGTAAGATGATAATGAAAATGTGTTAAGAGAAAAGACGCCAGAAGCTCATTTAGATATTTCTCTCCATATTACGTTATATGTAAGGCAGAAATTTTTTTGATATGTATCTTCCCTGAGTTTATTGCTTAGGGTGTTGATGAAGACTAACACAGCAATGACGTTCTAGATGTCATTCATAATACCGATATTATGAAATAATTGTTTATTTTACATGTATATGTGATGGTAAGAATTTATTCTATGAAAGAAAGCATTTTATAAGCATATGAATAGTGTACTGCAAACTTGAATTCCAATAATGGTTTATGTGTGAGAACTCTGTACCATAGCACTATATTATACCAAGGTTCTCTGTTAAGATTCCTTTTAATTAAAAAATTTTATGTGCACATATTCGTTCTACACATGTCATTGCTCCTAAAGACTTCCTTTCATGGTCACTCAGTGAAACAAAAAACATTATTATTTCTCTTTATTTAGATGAATTTCAATAAATATGAGTATAGGGTTTCTGTTTGATCAGTGTGACAACTGAGAAACAGAATATGTTTGTGTCAATCATGGGTTTGTTCTCTGGATGCATGTGTCTGAGTGAAGTTCTTTGTGCAATATGTCATTGTATCTGATTGGAATGGAAAAGGTATGAGTATGCAAAATTCTCTTCATTAAATTAACACAATATAATAAAATTGAAGATCATTTTTCCCAACATTTCTGACAAACAATTCTTTTGGGAAATGCACCTGATATTCAAAAAAACAATATTCTAAATATGTTACCATGAGAGTAAAATGTTTTTGCTTATTCTGTCACAATGTGGAGCTGGATTGATGTGGTGTGTGTATGACAAGAGGGCTGCTGCCATCATGATACGTTCAAATTTAACTACAGAATAGCACATATTCTAGCAAAATGGAAGATTATATCCCATTTCTGGTAATTAGGTCAGGAGGTGAAAACTGTGGTTTCTGATGTGCACGGAAATGATGGAAGGGAATCCTTCAATTTCTTCTTTTTCCCCAATGTTGGATAGTTACACGGCATGGCTCTGTAGATGCTTAGTTACCATTTCACTGCTTCCACAACATTTACTTCTACATTTCAGTCTGGCATTAATCAATCACTTAAAAATTTGATGGACATTTTGTTGCTGTTTGTATTACAGTTAGAGTAAAATAAATTGATGAATCAAAGTATAAGACACTTTGGCCACACACAAAAAAATGGTTACCATAAAATCTGGAAAATAAAGCCAGTATGCACAGTTTTTGCTTATGCTTCAAAATGGAACACTGCTATCCATTTTGGGGAAACATCACAGTTGTCAAGAGGACCACCCAACTGGAGCTCAGAGTGGCATAGGTCAGGTCAATCAGCGTCCTCAGAGACATGTTGTCATCATCGATCCAGATGAGCCCTCTTAAACTCATGTGTGTTTCCAATGTAGGGGAAAGCTAGGAGAGATTACGACTTTGAGTTTGAAATAAATTGTCATCACTGTGCAGTTGGCTTATTTCATGTTCTGAATAGAGTTACTGAATCATATACAGAATTAACACTATACTTCATCACCTTAAAGTATACAAAAGCAGAAAAATGATCCATGAATAATTTGAAAGCATTATTCTTAAAAATGATGAAATTCAAATGGCTATTGTGGGACTAAATTTGAAATATTGAAAATCAATATTATAAATTAGATAAAATCCTAAAAATATTACAAAAAACATCAATAATGGAAAAAGACATCCTCTAATAAACAGTAATCAATGCTTACCTCTGCAGCCTGAATGGTAAGATTCCATTGCAATTCCAACCTGCAACAAATAGAAATAAAAATACTTTGATTGAAATGTTTTCCAGACATCATTACCTACCTTAACTAGATGTAGCACGTTGTTCTCAAAAATAGAGATTATAGAGCATTTTCACCAAACTTATAATATGTCTGACTTCCTCCATACCTTTGATAAGAAGATAATGAGAATGAGTTAAGAGAAAGGAGGCCAGAAGCTCTGTTATATTTCTGTTAGTATTATACCACAAGTAAGATACTAGTAACTTCGGTGTGTACCATAACTGGGTTTACTGCATAGGGTGGTGCTGAACCCTTGAACAGCAACTGTGTTCTTGATGCCATTCCTAATGCAGATATTTTACAAAATATTCATGAATTTGACATGGAAATGAGAAGGTACACATTTATTCTATGTACGGAAAGCTTTTTCTATAAGGATATGAATAGTGCACTGAAACATTGGCTTCCAATGATGGTTTCTGTGTTAGAACTCTGTACATTAGCACTAGACAATTGTAAGGTTATCTATTGAGGTTCCTTTGATTAAAAATTGCTATGTTTACATATTCATTCTACAAATGTCATTGCTATTAAAGACTTCCTTGCATGGTGTCTCAATGAAACATAAAAATTATTATTTCATCTTTATTTGGATGAATTTCAATGAATCTGAAATTAGGGTTTGTGTTTGATCAGTGTGTCAACTGGGAAATGGTTTGTGTCTGCATACTTCTCTAAGATTAGTGCACAACTATCTTGTACTAGGTAATAATGGGAGTGTTCTCCATATGCATGGATCTGAGTGAATTTCTTTGGGCACGTTGGCTTGTATCTGTTTGGAATAGAAAATTTGGGAGTATGCAAATTGATTTTCATGAAATACACACATTATAAAAAAGGAAGATCTGTCTTCCCAACTTTTCTGACAAACATATCTCTTGTACTGTGTACCTCATAGTCAAAAAAGACAATATCCTCTATATGTTACCATGAGAGTAAAGTGTTAGTGCTTACTCTGTCACAATGAGGAAGGGGAATGATGGGGTTTCTGAATGGTGATGTGGCCGCTGCCATCAAGATATTTTCAATTTAAAATACAGAATAACAAATATTCTAGCATCATGAGAAATTATATCCCTTTGTGGTAATTGGAGGAAGGAAGAGCAAACTGTGGTCTCTGTAATATTCAGTAATTGTGGCAGGGAATCCTTCAATCTCATTTTGTTCCCCAATTTTGGAAAGTCACAGGGCATTTCCCTGAGATGTTCAGTTATGATTTCACTGTTTCCACATCTTTTAGTTCTTTATTTCTATCAGACATTAGTAAATGGTTTAAAAACTTGCTGGACAGTTTTTTTCTGTTACTATAATTGTTAGTGTAACATAAAGTGATGTATCAAATTATAAGACAAGTTTACCACACACATAAAAAAGTGTTTTTCGCTTAAAAATTGGTAGAAAAGCCATTCCCCACACTTATCTCTTATGTTTCAAAATGGAAGTTTCCTTGCCACTTTGGGGAAACATCACTGTTGTCAAGAGGTTCTACCGTCTGGACCTCAGATTGGCATAGTTACAAGTCAATCACCGTCCTCAGAGACTTCTTGTTCTCATCGATCCAGGTAAGCCCTCATTAACTACTCTGTGTTTCCAACAGATGAACCATATACAAAATTAATACAAAGGCTTCATCATGTTAAAGCATACATGAGCAGAAAAAATTATCCATGACTAATTTGGTCAGCATTATTCCTTAAAAAAGGGAAAATTCACATGGGTTTTATGGGACTAAATTTGAAATATTGAAAATAGGTATTACAAAAAATACATAAAATCCTAAAAAAATTATAAACACATGAATAATGGAAAAAAGACATCCTCTAATAAGTAGTAAAGACTGCTTACCTCTCCAACCTGAAAAGTAAGAGGCCATTGCAATTACAACCTGCAACAAAATAGATATATAAAAAAATTGATTTTCGTTTTGTCCAGACAACTGTGTCTTCCTTAACTGTGTAGAGCAAGTTGTCCACAAACACAGAGAGTATAGGGTATATACACCAAAATTACATTTTGTCTGGCTCCCTCAATATCTGGGGTTAGATCATAATGAGAATGTGTTAAGAGAATGGAGTCCAGAAGTTCTTTGTGATATTTCTGTCAATATTATAGTATAGGGCATGGGGTAGTTCCTTTGTTGTGTATCTTCCCTGAGTTTATTGCTTGGGGTGGTGCTGAAGCTTCACCCAGCAAGGGCATTCTAGATCCATTCTTAATACAGATATTTTTAAATATTTGGTATTTGACATGTGAATGAGAAGGTAATGATTTAATCTATGAAAGAAGGCATTTTCAATAAGAACATGAAAAGTGTACTGCAACATTGAATTCCAATATTGGTTTATGTGTTTGAACTGTGTATCAAAGTCCTTCATTATGGCAAGCTTAAATTGATATTCCCTTTAATTAACAATTTTATGTGCACATATTCATTCTACACATGTCATTGCTCCTAAAGACTTCCTTTCATGGTCACTCAGTGAAACATAAACATATTAATATTTCATCTTTATTTGAATGAATTTCAATGAATGTTAGTAAGGGGTTTGATAAATGTAAAAACTGAGAAACAGAATTTGACTGTTACATTCTCTAAGTTAAGTGTGCAACTACGGATGTCTGTTTAATCATTGAAAAGGTATGAGTATGCAAAATTCTCTTCATTAAATTAACGCAATATAATAAAACTGAAGATAATTATTCCCAAATTTCTGACAAACAATTCTTTTGGGAAATACACTTGATATTCAAAATAAAAGAATATTCTCCATATGTTACCATGACAGTATAATTTTGGTGATATTTCTTTCACAATGTGGTAGTGGATTGATATATTGTCTGCATGAAATGATGGCTGCTGCCATCATGATATATTCAATTGTAACTACATAATAGCACATATTGTAGCAAAATGGAAGATTATATCCCATTCCTGGTAATTAGGTCAGGAGGTGCAAACTGTGGTTTCTAATGTGCATGGTAATGATGGAAGGGAATCCGACAATTTCTTCTTTTTCCCCAATTTTGGACTGTTACACGGCATGGCTCTTTAGATGCTCAGTTACCATTTCATTGCTTCCACAACATTAAATTCTACTTTTTAGACTGGCATTAGTACGGCTTAAAATTTTGCTGGACACTTTGTTGCTGTTGGTATTATACTTTCTGATGAATGAAATTATAAGACATTTTTGGCACACAAAAAAAATGTTTATCATAAAATTTGGGAGACAAAGCCAGTCTGCACAGTTATTGCTTATGCTTCAAAATGGAAGAGTGCTATCCACATTGGGGAAACATCACAGTTGTCAAGAGGAACTCCCAACTGGAGCTCAGAGTGGCATAGGTAAGTAAGGTCTATTAGCATCCTCAGAGACATGTTGTCATCATTGATCCAGATGAGCCCTTTTTAACTCATGTGTGTTTCCAATGCAATGGTTATGCTGGAATAGCTTGTGGCTTTGACATTGAAATGAATGGTCATGACTGTGCAGCTGGCTTATAGCTCAGGTTCTGAATAGAATTACAAACCACATAAACAGAATTGACACATAGGCTTCAGGATCTTAAAGGACATATGATCAGAAAAATTTATTTGTGTCTAATTTGCCAGTATTACTCCTAAAAAAGCGAATATTGTCATGGCTTTCATGGGACTAAATTTGAAATATTGAGGTCGGTATTAACAAAAAATGAAAAAGAAATACTAAAAAATAAAAATACACATCAAGAATGGAAAAAGAATTCCTCTAATAAATATTAGTTAATGCTTACCTCTCCAACCTGAAAGGTAAGTGTCATTTACAATTCCAAATTGCAGCAAAACAGAAATAAAAAATACATTTATTGGAATTTTGTCCAGACTACAGTTTCTAGCTTAATTGTATAGAGCAAGGTGTCATCAAACATAGATGTTATAGGGCATTTATACCAAACATATATTTGGTCTGACTCCCTCCATAACTGGGGTAACTTAATAATGAGAATGTGGTAAGACAAAGGAATCCTGAGGCTGTCATTATTATAAGTAAGCCACCAGTTCCTTTGGTGTGTACCATAACTGGGTTTATTGCATAGGGTGGTGCTGAAGCCTTGCACAGCAACTACGTTCAAGATGCCATTCCTAATGCATATTATTTTACATTATATTCTGCAATTTGACATGTAAATGAGAAGTTAAGTATTTATTCTGTGAATGGAAAACATTTTCTATAAGAACATCAAATGTGCACTGCAACCTTGAATTCCAATGATGGTTTCTGTGTGAGAAATGTGTAGATTAGCACTAGACTAAGGCAAGGTACTCTATTAGTTTCCTTTTGTTAAAAATTGTTATGTTCACGTATTCATTCTTCAAATGTCATTGCAATTAGCCGGGCGTTGGTGGCACACACCTTTAATCCCAGCACTTGGGAGGCAGGGGCAGGCGGATCTCTGTGAGTCTGAGAACAGCCTGGACTACCAAGCGAGTTCCAGGACAGCCTCCAAAGCCACAGAGAAACCCTATCTCTAAAAACCCAAAAAAATGTCATTGAGATTAAAATTTCCTTTCCTGGTGTCTCAATGACACATAAAATTATTCTTTTATCATTATTTGAATGAATTTCAATGACTCTGAAATTAGGGTTTGTGTTTCATCAGTGTGACAATTGAGAAACAGACTGTGTCTGCTTCCTTCTCTAAAGTTAGTTTGCAACTATCTAGTTCTGGGTAATAATGGGATTGTTTTCCAGATGCATGGATCGGAGTGAATTTCTTTGGGCACTTTGGCTTGTATCTGTTTGGAATGGAAAAGATGTGAGTATGCAATATGATCTTCATTAAATATGCACATTATAAAAAAGGAAGATCTTTCTTCCCAACTTTTCTGACAAACACTTCCCTTGTGCTGTGTATATCATATTCAAAAAAGAAAAATATTCTCCATATGTTACCATGATAGTAAAATGTTGATGCTTATTCATTCACAATGTGGAAGTGGATTGGCATGGTGTCTGGATGGTGAGATAGCTGCTGTCTTCATGATATCTTCAATTTAAACAACAGAATGACAAATATTCTAGCAACATGGAAAATACATCCTGATACTATTAATCGGGCGCAGGAAGATAAAACTGTAGTATCTGAATTGCTGGGTAATATTGAAAGGGAATCCTACAATCACTTCTTTTTCCCCAATTTTGGAAATTCATAGGGCAGGACCCTTGAGAAGATCAATTATGATTTCACTGCTTCCACATCTTTGAGTCCTTTGTTACAGTCTAGCATTAGTCAGTAGGTTAAAAACTAGCTGGACAGTTTGTTGCTGTTAGTATTACTGTTAGTGTAACATAAAGTGATATATCAACTTATAAGATGTATTTGCCTCATAAAAATAATTTTTCCCATGAAATTTTAGAAATAAAGCCAATCTGCAGTTTTCTCTCATGCTTTAAAATGGAAGAGTGCTTGCCACTTTAGGGAAACACAACTGTTGTCAAGAGGACCTCCCATCTGGAGCTTAGGTTGGCATAGTTATTAGTCGATCACTGTCCTCAGAGACTTGGTATCATCATGGATCCCGATAATCCCTCTTTCAACCCATGTGTTTTTCCAATGCAAAGGGAAAGCTGGAATAGCTGGTGGCTATGCCTTTGAAATGGATGTTCATGACTGTGCAGCTAGCTTATTGCTCAGGTTCTGAATAGAGTTAATGATCCCCATACAAAATTAACACATACGCTTCATCAACTTAATGCAGACATGAGCAGAAAATAATTACATATCTTATTTTTCAGCGTTATTCCTAAGAAACAGAAAATGTACATGGATTGTATAGGGCTGAATTTGAAATATTGAAGTCGGTATTAACAAATAATTTATAAAAATATAAAAAACATATCAATAATGGAAAAAGATATCCTCTAATGAATGTTGATCAATGCTTACCTAGCCAGCCTGAATGGTAAGAGTCCATTGCAATACCAACCTGCAACAAAATAGAAATAAAAAATACTTTGATTGGAATTTTGTCCAGACAACAGTGTTTTCCTTAAGTGGATAAAGCAAGTTGTCCTCAAATACAGCGATTATAGGGCATTTATACCAAACATGTATTTAGTCTGACATCCTGCATACCTGGGGTAAGATGTTAATGAGAATGTATTAGGAGTAAGGAAGACAGAAGCTCTTTTTGATATTTCTGTCAATATTATACTGCAAGTAAGTCACTATTTCCTTTGGTGTGTACCATAACTGGGTTTATTGCATAGGCTGGTACTGAAGCCTTGAATAGCAAGCATCCTCTAGATGCCATTCCTATTGCAGACTTTTTACAAAGTATTCAGCAATTTGACATGGCAATGAAAAAGTAAGTGCTTATTCTATGGAAGGAAGGCATTTTTATAAAAACATGAAGAGTGCACTGCAAACTTGGATTCCCATAGTTACTAGGTGATAAATTTGTACATTAGCAATAGATTATGACAAGGTTCTCTATTGATGCTCCGTTTCTTTAAAAATTGTTATGTTACCTAATGAGTCTACACATGTCCTTGCTCCTATGGACTTCTTTTTATGGTGTCTCACTGAAACATAAAAAATATTCTTTCATTTTTATTTTGATGAATCCCATTGTTTCTGAATATAGGGTTTTTTATATTAGTGTGACAACTGAGAAACGTAGTGTGTCTGCTTACTTCTCTAAGGTCTGTGTGCAACCACCTAGTTCTGTTTAATCAAAGAGTAGGACGTGGAGGAACAGGAAGTTCGACTGGGGGGGTAGGATGGGGGGAGATAATCATAGGTTAGAAGACAGATCAGACATCACTTTGACCTCTAGTGATCTAAACAGATGACACGAATTGGCAAGCTAAGCAATAGTGTAGAGACCACCTCGAATGACCATTCCTGATAATAAACTTGATGTCTATAACCATCCTGGAGCCTTCATCCAGTGACTGATGGAAACAGAGGCAAACACCCACAGTGAAATACTGAACAGAACCCAAGGACAAAGGGAGAGGAGCAAAGAGCAAATTGACAAAGAATGGGCTGGCAAAACCAGCAGAGACAGATGATCTGAAAAGGGGAGAGCTCTTGGCCTCCAGACTGACAGCTGGGTGGCCAGCATGGGACCGATCCAGACCCCCTGAATGTGAGAGTCAATGAGGAGGCCTGGGGTCCTGAGCAGTGGACCAGTGTTTATCCCTTGAATACTAACAGACATCACGTGTCCATAACACAAAGAGGATTGCTCTCTCTGCCTGGACTCTTAGGGAAGTGCCTGGACCCTACCCTGAATGGAATGATAGATTCTAGATATCCCCTATGCGGAAGGAATTGGCAATAGGGTGGGAGGATGGTGGGGGGTGTGGGAGGAGGGGAGGGAGAGGGAACTGGGATTGACATGTAAAACAAGCTATTTAAAATAAAAAATGTTAAAAAATAAAAAAGAGTGTTCTCCAGTTGAATGGATATGAGTTCTTTGTGAAAGTCGGGGTTGTATCGTTTGGAACTGAAAAGGTATGAGTATGCAATATACTTTTCATTAAATTCACATGTTATGAAGAAATTGAATATCATTTTTTCTAACTTTTCTGGCAAAGTCTTCTCTTTTGCTATGTACCTCATATTCAATAAAGAAGAATACACTCCATATGTTACTATGATAGTAAAATGTTGGTGTTTATTCTGTAACAATATGGAAGTGGATTGATATGGTGTCTGCATGGTGAGATGGCACCAGCCAGTAAGTTATGTTCAGTTCAAAGTACAGAATAGCAAATATTCTAGCAACATGAAAAATATATCCCATAGCTGATAATTGGGCACACAAACAGTAAACTGTGGTATCTGAAATGCTCGTTCATCGTGACAGGGAATTCTACAATCACTTCTTTTACCCCAATTTTGGAAAGTGACAAGACATGGCCCTTGAGATGCTCACTTATGATCTCACTGCTTCCACATCTTTTAGTTCTTTCCTACAATCTGGCAAACGTCAATGGCTTATAAACAAACTGGACAATTTTTGGCTCTTAGTATTACAGTTAGTGTAACATAAAGTGATGAATCAAATTATAACCCGTGTTTGCCACACAAAAAATATTTGTTCCCATGAAATTTTGGGGATTATGATTGCCTTCACAGTTATCTGTTATACTTCAAAATTGAAGAGTGCTAGCCATTTTGGGGAACCATCACAGTTGTTAACAGGACCTCCCATCTGAAGCTCAGATTGGCTTAGTTACAAGTAGATTACCGTCCTTAGAGACTTGTTATCATCATCGATCCAGATAAGCCCTCTTTTAACTCATGTGTGTTTGCAATACAATGTTAAATCTGGAATAGCTAGTGGCATTGACTTTGAAATGAATGGTCATGAATGTGCAGCTGGCTTTTTCCTCAGGTTATAAATAGATTTACTGAAACTCACACACACAAAAAAAACACTTAGTCTTCATCATCTTAAAGCAAAATGAACAAAGTAAATGTTCCATGTCTTATTTGCCAGCGTTATTTCTAAGAAACAGAAAATTCACATGGATTTGAAATATTGAACTCGGTGTTAACAAATAATATATAAAAACTAAAAAACACATCAATAATGGAAAATGACATACTCTAATAAATTTTAATCAATGCTTACCACTTCATCCTAAGTGGGAAGAGGCCATTACAATTCCAACCTACCACAGAATAGAAAAAAGTACAGTGAGTGGAATTTTGACCAGACTACAGTGTCCAGCTTAATTGAATACAGCAAGTTGTTCTTAAACACTGAGATTATAGGGCAATTATACCAAACATACATTTGGTCTGACTTCCTGTTTACCTGGAATAAGATGATAATGAGAATATTTTAAGAGAAAGGAGGGCAGAAGCACTTTGTGTTATTTCTCTCAATATTATACTGTAAGTATGGCACTAGAATATTTGGTGTGTATTATCATTGGGTTTATTGCATAGGATGGTGCTATAGCCTTGCACAGAGACTGCATTCTAGATGCCATTCCTAAGGCAGATTTTTTACAAAATATTCTGCAATTTGACATGGAAATGAGAAGATAAGGATTTATTCTATGAAAAGAAGGCATTTACAATATGAACATGAAAAGCACACTGCAACTTGGTATTCCCATGATGGTTCTGTGTTAGAACTGTGTACATTAATAATAGACTATGGCAACATTTTCCACTGAGGTTCCATTTCATTAAAACTTGTTATGTGCACATATTCATTCCATTTATGTCATTGCTCCTAAAGACTTCCTTTCATGGTGTCTCAGGGAAACATAAATATTTCATCGTCTTTATTTGGATTAATATCAATGAAACTGAATATAGGTTTAGTGTTTCATCAGTGTAACAACTAAAAAATGGAGTGTTTCTCCTTTCTTCTCTATGGTTTGTGTGCAACTACCTAGGTCTGTGTAATCATGGGAGTGTCTCCCGATGCATGGATTCGAGTGAGGATCTTTGTGAAAGTCGGCTTGCATCTGTTTGGAATGGAAAAGTTGTGAGTATGCAATATCCTCTTCATTAAATTCACATGTATTAAAAAAACTTGAAGATCATTAGCCCAACATTTCTGAAAAACACTATTCTTGTGATGTGCAACTCATTTTCACAAAAGAACAAAAATTTCCTGAGGTTTTTCTACTGTGCTGTTATACTATATATAAGACTGCTTTCTCCAACAGGAGAGAGACCTTTTAACAGTCGCAAAAAAGTATATAAACTTCTTAGTACAAACAGCTGGACATCTGGTCTTTCTTTTCCTGATACCTCGGAGATACTTGTGGTGTGCATGCCGCAATTGTAGTTCCTAACGAGATGCATAGAGGTTTGAAAATCCTGGGAAAGGTTGGCAAGACTCAGGAGAAGAGAGACTTGAGAGAGAAAAGAATTAAAAACAGGTCCTTCAAATTCTAAGAGTAAAACTGAATGGTAAAATCCCCAGGCTTTGCTTGAGAGATCCCCTTCTTTGGAGAAGGTGTATTAAATTAATCTCCAGCCTTTTGCCTGATCTATTGTGGTCAGGAAAGTAAAGAGGAACTGTGAGATCGCCCTCAAAGGCTGGCCAGCAAGTAAGGCTATGAGGGTGAATTGGAAATGGGTACCAAATTAGGCGTACAAGGTTAAATCTCCAGGCCTTCACCCACAAGATCGGGAAAGAAAGGGTAAACTGAGAGATCTCCCTTAGTTGGAAGGTGGATTCAGTAAATATTAAGGCTTTTGCCTGAGGGATCATCCTCTGTTGATGGATGTATAAAAGATAGGTAAGTTGAAAATTGGTAACAGTAAATGAAGTACTGGTTTTAAGTTAAAGAAAAGAAAAAGGTAAAAGTATATGGAATGGAAAATATATGGAGTTTCTAGATATTGTGTACTCTTGTTTTTTCTTTAAACTGTTTAATTGCTAAGAAAGAAACAAAAACTCCTAAAAGAAAATTGATTGTCAATGCTGATAAAATAATCCAACTTACAAATTTTGAAAATGCTTTGACTTCTAAATTAAAATATAAGGACAGAGTACTTGGGAAAAATTTTTCTGCTTTTGGTTCCAAAGAAAATAAAAAGCTGTGGGTTCTTCCACACTAATATGGTTTGGTAAACCAAGACCACCTGAAGCAGTGGTGCAAGTGATTCAACATCTAAAACAGCTAGATGCATCCTTACAGACTCTGAAAATCTGGATTTATACAGGTTTCTGAGATTTGTCATGATCCCTATGGTATGAAAATTGCCCCTTAATAGAAAGAATAGTTTGGAAAGAATGATGCCCACATTCCCATAAATTGTTTATAAATGTTTATTTGCATTTATACAGGGTTGGTTATTGCTACAAATTGAAGGTCAATTGTGTGAGTCATCTCTAAAAACTTTTTACAAGGAGTGGGTCTTGCTGTAGTCCCTGAGAAAAATAGCAAGTGCCTATAACATGGCCTGAGAGCCAAAGGAATCAGTATGGAAGATGCTATACAGTAGAAAACAGTTAAAACAAAATTTCAAAAAATAAAAAGGGTGATGCTTTGCCTTCTAGTCCCCACAGGGTCTCTGAGTTGGTGGTCAACTGATATCCACAAGTTCATCCTATTTTCTAGTTCTGGCTTACTGCCCCTGCATTGTCCCACTGATATCAACATCTAGCAGGAGGATAACATTTACTCTTCCACCTGGAGTTTTTCTCCTCTGTTGTAAGACTATATATAAGACTGGTCCATCCTACAAGAGAGAGACCTCTTAGCACTTACAAAATAAAGCCACTTCTTAGTACAAACAGCTGGACATCTGGTCTTTCTTTTCCTGAAACCTCGAAGTTGCTGGTGGTGCAGGCGTCTCAAATTCCCAAGATGCTTTCTGTATGAGAACTGTGAACATTAGCACTAGATTATGGCAAGTTTCTCTATTGAGGTTACTTTACTTTAAAAATTGTTATGTGCACGTATTCAGTCTATACATGTCATTGCATTGCTCCTAAAGACTTCCTTTCATGGTGTCTCAAAGAAAAAATATATATATACTTTCATTTTATTTGGAAAAATCTCAATCTGAGTATGGGGTTTGTGTTTCATCAGTGTGACAACTGTGATACAGAATGTTTCTGCTTCCTTTTCTAAGGGCAGTTGGGAAGATCATTCTTTCCAACTTTTCTGACAAACACTTCTCTTGTGAAATGGACGTTATATTCAAAATAGAATAATATTTTCCATTTGTATCCATGATAGTAAAATGTTGATGCTTATTCTGTCACAATGGGGAAGTGGATAGATGTGGTAATGGATGGTGAGATGACCACTGCTATCAAAATATGTTCAGTTTAAAATACATAATTGCACATAATCTAGCAATATGGAAAATTATATTCCATTGCAGGTAACTGGGGACAGGATGAGTAAGCTGTGGTCTCTGAAATGCTCAGTAATTGTGTCAGGGAATACTACAATCTCTTATTTTTGCCCAAGATTTGTAAGTCCCAGGGCAGGGTCAATGAGATACTCAGTTATGATTTCACTGCTTACACATCTTCTGATTCTTTATTTCAATCTAGAATTAGTCAATGGCTTAAACACTTGCTGGACAGTTTGCTGCTGTTACTATTACAGTTAGTGTAACCTAAGGTGATATATCATATTATGAGACATGTTTGCCACATTGTTGTTCCCATTAAATTTGGGAGACTGCACCAGTCTGTACAGTTATCTCTTGTGCTTCAAAATATAAGAGTGCTAGCAATTTGGGTAACCATCACTTTTGTCAAGAGTACATCACAACTGGACCTCATATTAGGATAGTTACAAGTCCATCACTGTTCTCAGTAATTGTTGTCATCCTTGATCCAGATAATTCCTCTTTGAACTCATGTGTGTTTCCAATGCAATGGGAAAGCTAGAATAGCTAGTGGCTGTGAGTTTGAAAAGAATGATTACAAGTATGTATTTGGCTTGTTGCTCAGGTTCTGAATAGAGTTACTGAACAACATACAAAATTCACACATAGGCCTTATCATCTTAAAGCACACATAAGCAGAAAAAATGATCCATAAATAAATTGCCAGCATTGTTCATGAGAAAGAGAAAATTCGCATGGATTTCATGAATTGTTGAAGTGGGCTCTAACAAAAAATAGAAAAAAACCTAAAAAATTAAATAATATATCAATAATGGAAAAAGACATTCTCTAATAACTATTAATCAATGCTTACCTCTCCATCCTTAAAGGTAAGAGGCCATTGCAATTCTAACCTGCAATGAAATAGAAATGAAAAATGCATTGATTGGAATTTTGTCCTGATTACGATGTCTACCTTAATTTGATAGAGTAAGTTGTTCTTAAACAGAGAGATTATATGGCATTTTCACCAAACATACATTTGGTCTGATTTCTTCCATACCTCTGGTAAGATGATAATCAGAATGAGATAAGAAAAAGGAGGCCACACAGTCTTTGTGATATATCTGTCGATATTATAAGTAAGGCACTAGTGTAAGGAAGGCACTAGTTCCTTTGGTGTATATCATAACTGGGTTTATTGCTTGGGGTGGTGCTGAAGCCTTGCATAGCAACCTCATTGTAGATACCACTACTAAAGAAGATACTTTACAAATATTTGGCAATTTGATATGTAAATGAGAAGTTAAGAATTTTCTACAAAAGGGAGGCATTTTCTATAAGAATATGGAAAGTGAACTGAAAACTTGAATTCCCACGATGGATATGGGAATTCAAAATGGGAGAGTTTTAGCCAATTTGGGGAAACACCACTGTTGGCAAGAGAACCACCCATCTGGAACTCAGATTGGCATAGTTACGAGTCGATCACCGTCCTCAGAGACCTGCTGTGGTCATCGATCGAGATAATCATTCTTCAGACTCATGTGTGTTTCCAATGAACTGGGAAAGCTGAAATAGCTAGTGGCTTTGTCTTTGAAACGAATGGATATGACTGTGCAGCTATCTTCTTTGTCAGGTTCTGAATAGAGTTACTGAACCACATACAGAATTAACACAGTAGGTCCATCATCTTACAGCATATATAAGCAGAAAATATGATCCATGTGTAATTTGCCTTTGTTATTCTTAAGAATGCGAAAAATTAAACATGGATTTTATGGGGCTGCATTTGAAATGTTGAAGTCGTCTTTAACAAAAATAGATAAAATGCTATAAAATAAAAAAACACTTCCATAGTGGAAAAAGATATCCTCTAATAAATATTAATCAATGCTTACCACTCCAGCCTGAAAGGTAAGATGCCATTGCAATTCGAATCTGCAACAAAATAAAAATAAAAAATGTACTGATTGGAATTTTGTTCAGACTACAGTTTCTAGCTTAATATGACAGAGCAAGTTTTTCTCAAAGACAGAGATTATAGGGCATTTATATCAAACATAGATTTGGTCTGAATTCCTCAATAACTGGGGAAAGATGATAATGAGAATGTGTTAAGAGAAAGGAGGCTGGAATCTCTTTGTGATATTTCTTTCAATATTATTGTACAAGTAAGACACTAATTCCTTTTGTATGTGTTTATTGCTTGGGGTGGTGCTGAAGCCTTGTATAACAATCGTATTCTAGATGCCATTCCTGATGCAGATGTTTTACAAAATATTCAGCAATTTGATATGTGAATGAGAAGATAAGGATATATTCTATGAAAGAAAGGCAAATCAATAAGAACATGAAAAGTGCACAGCTACCTTGAATTCCCATGGTTGTTTCTGTTTGAGAAATGTGTACGTTAGCAATAGAGTATAGCAGAGTTCTCCATTGAGGTTGTTTACATTAAAAATTGTTATGTGCACATATTCTTTCCAATTATGTCACTGCTCCTAAAATTTCCTTTCATGGTGTCTCAGGGAACATAAAAACAAATATTCTTTCATCTTTATTTGGATGAGTCTCAATGAAACTGAGTATAGGGTGTTTCATCAGTGTGACAACTGAGAAATGGAGTGTGTCTGCTTCCTTCTCTAAGTTCTGTGTGCAACTACCTAGGTCTGTGTAATCAGGGGAGTGTCTCCGGATGCATGGAACAGAGTGAAAATTTTTGTGCAAATCGGCTTGTATCCATTTGGAATGGAAAAGTTATGAGTATGTAAAATGATTTTTATTGAGTTCACATGTTATAAAAAATTGAAGATCATTCTTCCCAACTTTACTGACAAACACTTATCTTGTCATGTGCACCTCATATTCAAAAAAGAACAATATTCTCCATATGTTACAATTATAGTAAAATGTTGGTGCTTATTCTGTAAAGATGTGGAAGTGGATTGACGTGGTGTCTGCATGGTTAGATGTCTGCTGCCATCAAAATGTGTGCAATATATACTACAGAAGACCAAATATTCTAGCAACATGGAAAATCATATCCCATTTCTGGGAATTGGAGAGGAACATCAAACTGTGTAATCTGTAATGCTTTGTAATGGTGGCAGGAAAACCTATAATCTTTCATTTTCCCCAATTTTGGAAAGTCACAGGGCAGGGCTCTTGAGATTCTCAGTTATGATATCACTGCTTCCACAACTTTTAATTCTTTATTTCAATTTAGCATTAGTCAATGGCTTAAAATTTTGCTGGACAGTTTGAGGTCGTTAATATTACATTTAGTGTAACATAATGTGATGTATCAAATTATCAGACAAGATTGACACACAAAAATAGTTGTTATCATGAAATTTGGGAGACAAAGCTAGTGTGCACACTTGTCTCCTATGCTTCAAAATGGGAGAGTTCTACCCAATTTGGGGAAACACCACTCTTGTCAATAGGACCACCCATCTGGAACTCAAATTGGCATAGTTACGAGTCGATCACCATCCTCAGAGACTTGCTGTCATCATCGATCCAGATAAGCCCTCTTTCAATTCATGGGTGTATACAATGAAATGGGAAAGCTAGTGGATTTGACTTTGAAGTGAATGGGCATGACTGTGCAGCTGGTTTATTGCTCTGGTTCTGAATAGAGTTACTGAACCACATACAGAATTAACATTTAGGATTCATCATCATACAGCATACATAAGCAGAAAATATTATCCATGTGAAATTTGCCTTTGTTATTCTTAAGAATGCGAAAAATTCTCATGGTTTTATGGGGCTACAGTTGAAATATTGAAGTCAGATTTAACAAAAAAATAGATAAAATTCTAAAAAAATAAAAAACCATCCATAATGGAAAAACATATCCTCTAATAAATATTAATCAGTGCTTACCACTCCTGCCTGAAAGGTAAGATGCCATTGCAATTCGAATCTGCAACAAAATAAAAATAAAAATATATTGATTGGAATTTTGTTCAGACTACAGTGTCTAGCTTAATACGACAGAGCAAGTTTTTCTCAAAGACAGAGATTATAGGGCATTTATATCAAACATGGATTTGGTCTGAAGTCCTCAATAACTGGGGAAAGATGATAATGAGAATGTGTGAAGAGAAAGGAGGCTGGAATCTCTTTGTGATATTTCTTTCAATATTATTGTACAAGTAAGACACTAATTACTTTGGTATACGTCATCACTGGGTTTATTGCTTGGGGTGGTGCTGAAGCCTTTTACAAAAACTGTAATCTAGATGCCATTCCTAATGCAGATGTTTTGCAAAATATTCTTCAATTTGACATGTGAATGAGAAGGTAAGGATTTATTCTATTAAAGGAAGTCATTTCTACAAGAATATGAAAAGTGCACTGCTACCATGAATTCCCGTGATTGTTTCTGTTTGAGAAATGTGTACATCAGCAATAGAGTATAGCAAAGTTCTCCACTGAGGTTGTTTTCATTAAAAATTGTTATGTGCACATATTCATTTCAATTATGTCATTGTTCCTAATGACTTCCTTTCATGGTGTCTCAGGGAAACACAAATAAAATATTTTATCATTTTTATTTGAATGAATCTCAATGAAACTGAGTATAGGGTTAGTGTTTCTTCAGTTTGACAAATAAGAAATGGAGAGTGTCTGCTTCCTTCTCTAAGTTCTGTGTGCAACTACGTAGGCCTGTGTAATAAGGGGAGTTTCTCCAGATGCATGGATCCGAATGACGATCTTTGTGCAAGTTGTCTTGTGTCTATTTGGAATGGAAAAGGTGTGATTATGCAATATGCTCTTCATTAAATTCACATGTTATAAAAAATTGAAGATACTTTTTGCCAACTTTTCTGACAAACACTTCTTTTGTGATGCGCACCTCATATTTAAAAAATAACAATATTCTCCATATGTTATCATTATAGTAAAATGTTGGTGCTTATTTGGTCACAATTTGGAAGTGGACTGATGTGCTGTCTGCATGGTGAGATGACCGCTACCACCAAAATGTGTGCAATATAAACTACAGAATAACAAATATTGTAGCAACATGCAAAATCATATCCAATTTCTGGAAATTGGAAAGAGGAAGAACAAACTGTTTTCTTTGTAATGCACATTAATGGTAGCAGAAATTCCTATAATCTTTACTTTTTCCCCAATTTTGGAAAGTCACAGGACAGGGGTCTTGAGATTCTCAGTTATGATTTCACTGCTTCAACACTTGAATTCTTTATTTCAATTTAGCATTAATCAATGGTTTAAAAACTTGCTGGACAGTTTGATGTTGTTAGTATTACATTTAGTGTAACATAATGTGATGTATCAAATTATAAGTCAACATTGACAAACAAAAATAGTTGTTATCATTAGATTTGGGAGACAAAGCTAGTCTACACAGTTATCTCTTATGCTTCAAAATGGAAGAGTTCTAGCCAATTTGGGGAAACACCACTGTTGTCAAGAGGACCTCGCATCTGGAGCTCAGATTGGCATAGTTACGAGTCGATCACCGTCCTCAGAGACTTGCTGTCATCATTGATCCAGATAAGCCCTCTTTCAACTCATGTGTGTTTCCAATGCAATGGGAAGATGAAATAGCTAATGCCTTTGACTCTGTAATGAAGTGTCACGACTGTGTAGCTGGCATATTGCTCAAGTTCTGAATAAGGGTACTGAAATACAAATAGAATTAACACATAGGCTTCATCATCTTAAAGCATACAGGAGCAGCAAATATGCCAGCATTATTCTTAAGAAAGCAAAAATTCACATGGATTTTCTGGGACTAAGTTTGATATAATGAAGTCTTTAACAAAAATAGAAAAAAATCCTAAAAAAATAAAATACACTTCATTAAGGGAAGAAGACATCCTCTAATAAATATTAATCAATGCTTACCTCTCCAGCTTAATGGGTAAAAGGCCTTTGCAATTCTAAACTGCAACAAAATAGAAATAACAAATAAATTGATTGAAATCTTGTCCAGACTACAGTTTCTAGCTTACTTTGACTGAGCAAGCTGTCCTCAAACACAAATAACATAGGACATTTATACCAAACATACATTTGAACTGACTTCCTCCATACCTGGGGTATGATGATAATGAGAATGTGTTAAGAGGAAGGAGGCAGAAGCTCTTTGTGATATTTCTTTCAATATTATTGTACAAGTAAGGCAATAGTTCCTTTGCTGTATATCATCATTGGGTTTGTTGTATGGGATAGTTCTGAAGCCTTGCACAGCAAATGCATTCTAATTGCCATTCCCAAGTCATATATTTTACAAATATTTGGCAATTTGACAAGTAAATGAGAAGGCAAGTATATATTCTATGAATGAAAGGCATTTTCTATAAGAACATCTAAAGTGCACTGCAACCTTTAATTCCCATATTGGTTTCTGTGTGAAAACTATGTACATTAGCACTAGACTATGGCAACTTTCTCTATTGAGGTTGCTTTCTTTAAAATTGTATGTGCACATATTCATTCTACACATGTCATTGCTCCTAAAATCTTCCATTCATGGTGTCTCAGTGAAACATGAAAAAAGTATTCTTTCATATTTAATTGGATGAATCTCAATGAATCTGATTATAGTATTCTTGTTTCATCAGTGTGACAACTGAGAAATGGAGTGTGTCTGCTTCCTTCTTTATGGTCTGTGTGCATTACCTAAGACCATGTAATCATGTTAGTGTTCTGCTTGTGTATGAATATTAATGAAATGCTTTGTGAAAGTTGGTGATGTATCTGTCTGGAATTGAAAAGATGTGAGTATGCAATATGCTCTTCATTATATTCTCACATTATAAAAACAATAGATAATTTTCCCAACTATTCTGACAACACTTATATTGTGATTTGCAGCTCATATTCCAAAAAATACAATATTCTCCATATATTACCATGATAATAAAGTGTTGGTGCTTATTCTTTCACAATGAGGAAGTAGATTGACATGGATTCTGGATGATGAAAAGACCACTGCCATCAACATGTGTTCAATTTAAATTACTGAAAAGCAAAGATTCTAGCAACATGGATAATTATATCCCATTGCTGGTAATTAGGGGCAGGAAGAGAAAACTGTGGCCTCTGAAATTCTCAGTAATGGTGGCAGGGATCCTACAATCTCTTGTTTTTCCCCAATTTTGGAAAGTGAGAGAGCAGCGCCCTTTAGATGCTAAGTTATTATTTCACTGCTTCCATATCTTTTAATTCTTTATTGCAATCTGGCATTTGTCAATGTCTTAAAACGTTATAGGACAGTTTTTTGATATTAGTATTACTGTTCATGTAACATGAAGTGATGTCTCAAGTTATAGAACAAGTTTGACATGAAAAAAATTTTTCCCCTAAAATTTGGGAGAAAAAGCCGGTCTTCACAGTTATCTCTTATGCTTCAAAATGGAAGAGTTCTAGCCACTTTCGGGAAACATCACTTTTGTCAAGCGTACCTCCCATCTTGAGCTCAGATAGGCATAGTTACAAGTCAATCACCTTCCTCGGAGACATGTTTTCAACATCGATCCAGATAAGCTCTCTTTTAACTCATGTGTGTTTCTAATTCATTGGTAAAGCTCGAATAGCTAGTGGCTTTGACTTTTAAATGAATGGTAATGACTGTGCACCTGTCTTATTGCTCAGGTTCTGAATAGAGTTACTGAACTACATACAGAATTAGTACATGGGGTCCCAGATCTTAAATCGTACATGAACTGATAAAAGATCCACATATAATTTGCCAGCCTTATCCCTAGAAAAGCGACAATTCACATAGATATTATGGGGCTTAATTTGCAATCTTGAAGTTGCCTTTACACAAAAAATAGAGAACATGAAAAGTAAAAAAAATACTTCAATAATGGAAATGGATATCCTCATATAAATTTTCAGAGGCAAACAAGGTTTTGTAATTGATGATAATAATTTCATTAGGAGATTGCTGTTACAATTATCTGCCTCCTATTCTCATCAACCTTATGTTCAAACTCATCTCTGTCACATAACCATTGAGTTTATCCTGTGTCTCACAATCTGTTATGGAATTGTCAGTTTGTCAAAGAACTGTGATAACTATGAAGAATTTTGCAATGTGTATCCTGCTGCCATCAGCTTCAAGGATGTGTATCTGATAAATAATGTCAACAGTAATATCAGAAGCATTTACAGTGCATGCCATGTGGTTTTTACATTTCTTTCTGGATGGGGACTCTCTATGTTAAACTACCACGTGGTAAATCTCATCTGATTTCCTGAAGTTCAGATGCAGGGATCCTCATATAGAAAAGGTTTTTATGTAATAACAATTCTGGATAATTTGTCTACTCATGAGCCTCCCGAGGGTCTCTTTATGATCCAACTTTGTGAAGAAATACCCTAAAATATTATCTCAGGCCTTAAATAATCAAATACAACTTTTGAGTGCTTTCCCATGAAAAATATATTTATAGTCACCCCTGTAACAGGCAAAGAAAACAAATAGTGAAAGAACATTGTCAGATATAATAACCAGATGAATAAGAAATTTTGAATATTAAACTGTGTTCTCAGTACTCTGTGGGTTTTCATATCAAATGTCCCCCCTCATATTTCCTACAAATAGGGAAAAGGAAAGTTTGGGTGGAAATAGGAGACTAAGGAATCCATTTTAAAGAAGAATGAGATAGTAAATACAGTAAATCATGGGAGGCTTTAATATATAAGATGGTACGTTCACCCTAGAACAAAAAGCTTGAGATTGAGGTGGATAAAGGACATAATTCAAAATGCCATTCACACAGCAGGGGTCTTTTTAATGAAGAAGCAGACAGGGATCAATAAAATTATGTAGCCATTTCGGTGACTTGACAAGGGATTTCCAAGCTAAGTGACCTAGAATGATTATGGACTGAAATGGGATAAATGTGATCAACATTGCACCATCAAAACATCAGGGTCAAGATAGGAAAATCATAGAAAATCTATTCCTTGGACCCCTGAAGTCATAGATTCTGAGGATCTGAAATCACCAGTCATAGTATGGAAGTATCTGCACAACAGAATAGGCTTCAATACTTACCTCTCCCACCTGAAAGGCAAGAGGTGTTTGCGATCTAACCTGCAACAAAATGGTAATAAAAAATATATTGAATGGAATTTTGTTCAGACAACATTGTCTAGCTTAATTTGATAGAGCAACTTGTTTTTAAACACAGAGATTATAGGGCATTTATTTTAAGGAGACATTTTGTCTGTCTTCTTCCATATCTGTGGTAAGCCAATGACTTAAAACTTGTTGCACAGGTTGTTGCTCTTTGTATTACAGTTAATGTAACATAAAGTAATGTATCAAATTGTAAGCCACGCTTGATACACAAAAATTGTTTTCCCCATAAAATTTGGGAGACAAAGACAGTCTGCACAGTTATCTCTTATGCTTCAAAATGGAAGAGTGCTAGCCGCTCTCAGGAAACATCACTGTTGTCAAAAGGACAGGTCCTGTAACATGCTCAATTATGATTTCACTGCTTCCCCATCTTTTAATTCTTTGTATCAATCTGGCATTAGTCGGTGGCTGACAACATGTTTGTCAGTTTGATGCTTCTTAATATCACAGTTAGTACAACTTAAAGTGATGTATCCAATTATATGACATGTTTGACACACAAAAATCCTTGTTCCCTTAATTTGGGAGACAAAACCAGTCTGCACAGTTATCTCTTATGCTTCAAAATGGAAGGGTGCTAGCCACTTTTGGGAAACATCACTGTTGTCAAGAGGACCTCCCATCTGGAGCTCAGATTGGCATAGTCACGAGTCGATCACCGTCCTCAGACACTTGTTATCATCATCGAACCAGACAAGGCCTCTCTTAAGTCATGAGTGTTTCCAACACATTGGTAAAGCTGGAACAGCTAGTTGCTTTGACTTTGAAATGAATGTTCATGACTGTGCAGCTGGCTTTTTGATCAGGTTCTGAATAGCGCTACTGAACCACATACAGTATTAACACATGGGCTCCCCCACCTTAAAGCATACATGACCTGGAAAAAACATCAATATATAATTTGCCAGCATTATTCCTAAGAAAGAGAAAATTCACATAGATTTTTATGGGGCAGAATTTGAAATAGTGAAGTTGGCTTTACACAAATATAGATATAATTCTTAAAAAATAAGAAAAACACATCAAGAATGGAAAAGGTCATCCTCTAATAAATTTTAAGAGGCAACCAAGCTTTTGGAATTCAGAGAATATATACATCACGAGATGGTTGCGACATACATCTTCCTCCTCCTAATGATATCCCATATGTTTTCTTACTCTTCTCTGTCACTTAAGCACTGGGTTTGTCCTGTGTGTCCCATTATGGACTTTTCATTTTTTTCAAGCAACTGCCAGAAATATGTAGTATCCTGCAATATGTATCCTAATGCCATCCTCTTTATGGATGTGTATGTGATATGTAATGTCAACAGTAATATCAACAATATTTTCAGTGCAGGCCTTGTGGCTCATGTTTCTATGTGGATATGTTACACTGCCACATTTTAAATGTCCTCAGAATTTCCAAAATTTCAATTGTGGGGATCCCCAAATTAAAAGGATTTTATGTAACATTTCTTCCTAATTTGTGTGATTATGAGCCTCCTGAGGTTCTCCTTATCCTCCAATTTTGTAAAGGAGTTCAATAAGGGTATTTGTTATACTGGGAACTTCAGAAACCTTGAATCACCCCTGGAAAAATGAGCCACCTGAAGCCTGCTGAGAGAGCCTGCCTACTCCTGCCCCCACAGAGGGCAAAGGGCAGAGGACTGAGTAAGCTTAATTAGCCCACACAGGATGAAATGAAAAGGAGTCTGATGAGAGAGGCTGCCTACTCCTTCAGCCACTCAGGACAAAGGGCTGAAGGCAGAGTGCAGCGGGCAGAGCTAACACTCATGGGGACAGGTAATGCCTGAGACCCTCCTGCAACCACTGTGAGACCCAACAGTGAAGCAGACTTGCTTGCACCCACAAGAAGAGAACCTTGGAACTGTATTCACAAGGAAAGGAAGATACCCCATCTCTGTCCACCGAAAAAGGGATTGATGGAAAACAATACAAGAACAAATTTGGTGACAGAAAAAATCATAAGACACCACCAGAGTCTAGGAAACCTCACAACACAGATGAAGCAGTAGATAATGACATTAAAACTACTTCATGGATATAACAGAGACTCTAAGAGAAGAAATGAGAAAATCTTTTAAAGAAATGGTAGAACTCAAGAAGCAAGTCTCCAAAACAACAAAGGATTCGGTTAAAAAATGGGGTAGTAAATTAAATAGAGAATTCTCAATAGAGGAGTCTAAAATGGCTAAGAGGCACTTTAGAAAGTATGCAATATCCCTAACCTTCAGGGAAATGCAATTCAAAACAATTCTTTGATACCATATTTCACCTATCAGAATTGCTAAAATCAAAAACACAGATGACAGTTCATGCTGGAGAGAATGTAGAGAATGTGTAATACTCTTCCACTGCTGGTGAGAGTGCCAACTCCTACAGGCACTTTGGAAAGCAGTATGGAGATTCCTCAGGCAAATGGGAATCAGCCACCACAAGACCCAGCAATTCCACTCTTAGGCATATACCCAAAAGATGTACATTCATAAAACAAGGATATCATTTCCATTATGTTCATAGCAGCATTGTTTGCAATAGCCAGAACCTGGAAATATCCTAGATGCTCCTCAATTGAAGAGTGGATAGACAACATGTGGTACATTTACACGGTAGAGTACTATTCTATGGGAAAAAACAATAGAATATTGAAATTTGCATGCAAATTTATGACACTAGAGGAAAACTTTCTGAGTGAGTTAACCTAGTCATGAAAACAAAAACATGATATATACTCACTCATATATAGATTTTAGACATTAATCAGGGGAGTGCCAGCCTACAATCCCACTGCCAGAGATTCTGGGAAACAGAACCTTCAACTAATGATTGATAAAAGCAGAAGGAGACAGCCACAGCTAAATACTGAACTGAATCAAATAACCCAGAAACAGAGAGAGAGGACTTATGAGCATAGTGGTCAAAACTGGACTTGTTTAACCCACAGAAACAGCTGACCTGAACAAGGGGGAAGCTCTTGAACCCAAGAATGATGGCTGGGAATCCAGCATGGGACTGATCCAGACACCATGAATGTGGGTGCCAGTAAGGAGGCCTAGACAATCTATGGGGCTTTGGGTAGTAGATCAGCACTCATCCCTAGCATACAAATGGACTTTGGGTGCCCATTCCACAATAAGAGATGCTGTCTCAGTGTAGAATCTTGGGGGGATGGCCCAGGACCTGCCCTGGATGAAATGACAGAATATGGATACCCCCATGGAGAACCTCACCCTCCCTGGGGAGTGAAGTGTGAATTGGACGTGGTGGGATGAGGTTTGGTTGGAAGACGTGGGAGGATGGAAGCGACAGTGAGAGGGACCTGGGATTGACATGTGAAGCAACCTTGTTTCCAATTTAAAATTAAAAACAAAATAAGAAATAAAAAAGAATAGAAGAAAGGAGAATCCAAAAATTATAAGAAACAATTCAAACAGTCCAAGGTTTGAAAGCTGAAATAGAGATATTAAAAGAATACATTCTGAAGGAATTCTGGAACTCAGGTGGAGAGAGAGAGCTGTGACTGATACGGGAAATAAGCTTGTTTCTACATTAAATTAAATTTTAAAAGTACAGTAAAATGCTATCTCATGCCTTAAATCGTTAAATACCACTTTTGGGTGCTTTCCCATAAAAATTATTCTTACAGTCACCCCTCTAACATGCAAAGAAAAGAAATAGTAAAAACTCTGAGAGAACGTTGTCAGAGTTCACAGCCAGATAAATTAGAAAATTCGAATATTAAATTGAGTTCCCTATTCTATGGGGTGTGTTCATACCATTTGATACCCCTTGTATTTCACAGAATCAGGGAGTAGGAACAGATGGGTATAAATGGGAGTCCGAGAAATATAATTTAAAAAAGACTGAGATAGGAAATCATGGGAGACCTTACGATTTCAGATAGTGTATTCACCTAAGAACAGAAAGCTTGAGATTGAGGTGTTTAAAAGAGATAATCCAAAATGATATTCATACAAATGAGGTCTTTTCAATGAAGAAGAACTAAATGGTACATAATATTTGGTGACATTTTCAGTGACTTGCCAAGGGAATTCCAGTCTATGTTACCTTGATTGCCAAAGGACTGACATGGGATAAATGTGATCAGTATTGCACGAATCAATAACAAAAGTGCCAAGATAGAGAAATCATAGAAAAACTATTCCTTGGACCCCCTTAGGCCATAGACCTCAAGGTTCTGATATCCCCAGTCATAGTAAAGGGGCACATGCACAACAAAATAGGATGTGATGCTTACCTCTCCCGCCTGAAGGGTACGAGACCTTTGCAGTTCTAACCTGCAACAAAATAGAAATAAAAAGTATCACAGATGGAATTGTGTCCATACTACTGAGTCTACCGTGATTTGCTAGAGCAAGTTGTCCTCAAAAGCAGACAGGTTATAGAACCTATACCAAAGTTATGTTTGTTCAGATTTCTTCTACTCCTGGGTGTAAGATTCTAATGAGAATGTGTAATTAGAAAGTATGCCAGATGCATTTTACCATATATATGATAATATTAGTATAGTTCAGGAATGGCACTAGTTCCTTTGGTATGTTTCATCATGGGGTTTCTTGCTTGGGGTGGTGCTGAAGCCTTGAGCAACAAGAGCTTTATAGATGTCCTTCCTAACACAGATATTTTACAGAGTATTTGGCAATGGCAATCATTAAGGAGATGGTAAGCTTCTTTTCCCTGAAAGGAAGGCATGTTTTGTAATAACATGAGTAGTCCACTGAAAATTGAGTTCCCTTCATGGTTTCTGTGTCAGAAATGGGTACATTAGCACTAGACTAGGACAAGCTTCTTCAATCAGTTTACATTTCATTAAACATTGTTTTGTTCAGGTATCCATTCAACATGTTTCAGGACTTCTAAAGACTTACTTTCATGGTAACAGGGAAATATAAAGAAATATTCTTTAATCTTCATTTGGATGGATCTCATTGATTCTGAGTATAGGACTTGCCATACATCAATATTACACTTGAGAAATTGAGTGTGTCTGTTACCTTCTCTAAGGTCTGTGTGCAACTATCTAGCTCTCTTTGGTCTCATGGGAATGTTCTCTGGAGGCATGGATCTGAATGAGGTGCTTTGTGCAAGTCAGAGATGTATGTGTTTGCAACATATAATCTGTGTGAGTGCTTTGAATTCTTCATTAAATACACACAGTATGAAATAACTGACTGAAACTTTGCAAGTTGAATGTCAAACACTTACTACTGATGTGTCGTGGACCTCATTATCTAAAAAGTACAGTATCCTCCTTATGTTACAGTGATAGTAAGATGTTGGGGCTTATTCGGTCAGAATGTGTAAGTGGATTGATGTGGTGTCTGGATGGAGAGATGGCCATTCCCATTCAGATAATTTCAGTTAAAAGTACTGAAAAGCAATGATTCTAACAGCATGGCAAATTATCTCCCATTTCTGGCAATTTGGTGACAGGAATAGGAGACTGCAGCCTCAGAAATTCTCAGTAATTGTGGCAAGGAATCCCACAATCTCTTCATCTCCTTTTCCAAAAATAGGAATTTCACCAGGCACATCAAACCCAACATGAGTTTAACCCTTCAGTAGATTCAATTTTATGCTCCCTACATTGACTCTTAACCATAGACACAGATCATAGGGAAGACATGATACAGGACCTCAGCTTATGATTCCTGCACTGTTCCTTACAAGGTCTAAGACATGTTGTCTGCTGTTCATAGCACATCACTATCCCATTACGCTCAAAAATCACATCTACTTCACAAGAGCAGAGTACATAGCCTCAAGGTTCTTAATTTCCCTTGCACTGACTGTATAGGATATCTTTCCAAGTTTTCTGGAGAAATTCTTTATCACATGAACCAGGGAAGTAATGAAAATTTTAAGTTCTGATATCTGTCTACTTTCCCAAGACAAGTTTAACCCTATAGTTCAGTTACGCTTAAGCTCACAGCCTACCCTCCTAGCATTAGAGACTAACCATTTTGAAGTAACTATGCATGGCTCTTGAAACCATTTTAACTTCTGATCCATGCACTGTTCATTACAATGTCCCAGATTGGTCATCTGCCATTAATTGCACAGAACTATCACATTACACTCTGAAAATCACTTCCAAATTTCCAGAACAGGATGTGTACCCTCAAGGTTTTTATTTACCATGCTCTGACTGCTTATGATACCTGTTCTAGTTCTCTGGGTACATTCTTTATCACATGAGCCAGTGCAGCATTTTGCAGCTTGGAATCTCATTCATGTGGATGAAATCATATGCCGCTGATGTATGGTGAGAGGGTCTCTATCTGTAGATGAGCCTGTGAATCTGAGGCAAGGTGGGGGAGCCTGTCATGATGCACTCTCTCGAATTTACATGTGTTGTCTGATGCCTGGGTGGCAGAACAAGTTCACTAATTACAAGAAAATAACAGGCACACTGGATATTGCCTTGTCTATCTGCCTCCCATCCTTCTATCCCAAGGCAGGGAAGTCAAGATCAAATTTGCCTATCGCTGAGCTGTGCAAGACACAGAGCCTGAGCATCCTGACCTGAAACTTGTGCCCCACATCCTCTGTGCAATCACTGCTCAGTTTCTCATATGCAAGTCCTTTGGAATTCTCCAAGAAAGGGCAGTGTGGATTACCATGCTGGACTCATGGCCTTAGGGCAAGCAGATTCCCAAAAGGAAGGTAGTACACACATGCTTTGCTGCGAATATCATTGAATGCCTATAAGGTCATTCATTTCAGTAGGTGAGGCCCCAGCCCTGGATAGACCAAGTCCCTTGGTCTAATCTTTCCATTTACCTGAAAGTCATATGACTGGGGCTCCAAATTGTCATCCTGGATCACTGAAAGACAGAAAAGAAGAGGGGCGCATGAGCAGTGTTCTGGTCCTCTGCAGTCTTGACATGTGCAGAGTTCCACAGGAAGTGTTCTCAGGCAATGCTCAGTGCTTTCCTGTAGAAGTATATCTGGAACTCACAGGATTCCCCCAAATGGGAAACACTGCTGGGGGAATGAGGGCCTGTGAACTGGCCTATGAGAATGGCTCAAGGAGACTAGGCACCCATTTCTCCCCTGATCTGTACCCTGGGCCTCAGAGTAGTCCTATTGAGCATGATTTTTATGTCATCACCTCTCTTCGTGACATTGGTTTGTCATCATAGACCCGGGTCCTCAGAAGGCATAGCTATACCAGATATTTGGACACAAACTGTTCGACTTACCAGACTGGCAAAGACCTTCTAGCATGTAGGCCTCGTTGAGCTTCAGACTAATGGTCAGCCGCCATTAAGCTCCTGCAAGGGAGCAAGCAGAATCAGTATTAGTCAAGGCAAATTTTGGGGCGCCAAAGGGGCATGTCAGAATCATCAGAATTTATCATGCCCAGCTTCTGAATGCCCAGTGCTCTTGAGCACAATAATTGGGGGTACTTGCTAATCTGTTGGAGCCTAGCACCAACAGGGTCTCTGAGTTGTTTGTCAGCTGATAGCCACAGGTTCATCCTGTTTTTTAGTCCTGGATTACTGCCCCTGTATTGCCCCACTGACATCAACATCTAACAGGAGGAAAACACGCTCTCTTCTGCATGGGATTTTTCTACTGTTTTGTAAGACTATATATAAGACTGCACCCTCCTACAAGAGAGAGACCTCTTAGCACTTACAAAATAAAGACACTTCTTAGTACAAACAGCTGGACATCTAGTCTTACTTATCCTGATACCTCTGAGTTGCTTGTGGCACAGATGCTACACTAATCAATGCAATAGGGGAGATAATGAAAATGTAAATGGTGATTATCAGTCTGTTGGCCTTAGATCAATTTAACCCTTCAGTTGATTCACCCTCAACGTCACTGCGTGCATTCAAAACATCAGCTGACCGACCATTGGGAAGGCATTATATAGGTCCCGTGAACACATTTCAACTTCTGATCATGCACTGTTTCTGACAAGGTCCAAGACCTGTCATCTGCTGTTCTTTGCACAGCACTATCCCATTACCCTCTGAAATCACATCTTACTCAGCAGAATAGGATGCGTACCCTCAAGGTTCTTAATTGTCCATGCTATACCTGCTTAGTATCCCTACTCACATTCTCTTGGCACTTTCCATATCACATGAGCTAGGGAAGCCTTTTTCAGCTTGCGGCATCATTCATGTGGATGCAATTCTATGCTACTAATGTGTGGTGTGTAGGGCTCCACATGATGATGAGCCTGTGCATCTAGACAAAGAGGGGAATGCCTGGCCTAATGCACCCTCTCAAATTGCCTCGTGTTGCCTGATGCCTTAGTCAAGGCATCTTTTGGGGTGCAAAGCGTGGCATAAAAGATTTCTTTCTAACATTAATTCTTGCTACCTTGTCTGATCATGAGCCTCCTGAGGTTTACGTTAGGTGTCAATTTTGTGAAGTAGTGCACTAAAATGTTATTTCATGCCTTAAATGGTTAAATAGAAGTTTAAAGTGCTTTCCTCCCAAAAATACACTTAGAGTCACCCCTCCAATAGTTAAAGAAAATACATTGTGATAATATTTAGGGAAGTTTGTCAGAATTCAAAGCCAGATAAAGCAGAAAATTTTGACTATTAAATATTTTTCTCTGTTCTCTTGGTGTATTCATATGGAATGTCCCCCCTTGTATTTCTCAGAATTCAGGAGCAGGTACAGATGGGTAGGATTGGGAGCATGGTAACCAGATTTAAGAAAGATAAGTTAGAAAATTATGAGAGGAGTTAAGATTTAAGATGGCATGTTCACTCTAGAACCAAAAGCTTGTGATTGAGATGGCTAAAATAGATATTACAAGATGCCACTCAAGCCACTAGGGTCTTTTCAACAAAGAAGCACAGAAATACCTGTAATATTTTATGACCTTGTCAGTTACTTCACAAGGGAAAACAACTCTAGGTTTCCTAGAATGTCAGTGGACTGAAATAGAATAAATGTGATCAAATTAGAACGAATAAAGACATAATTGCCAAGACAGGAATATCATATTCCTTTAATGGCTGAAGTAATAGACTGCAAGGTTCTGAAATCCCCAATCATAGTAAAGAGATACCTGAACAACAGAATAGGTTTCAATGCTTACCTATCCTGCCTGAAGGTTAAAAGTCCATTGCAATTGTAACATGTAACAAAAAAGAAATAAAAAATATCACTGATGGAATTTTGTTCAGACTACAATTGAGAGAGTAAGTGATCCACAAACAGAGAAAGGATATGATATCTGTACCAAAGATATATTTTTTCTGACTTCTTCCACACCTCGGTGGATGATCATAATGAGAATGTGTTAAGAAAAAGGAGATGAGACATTCATTATGATATTTATGACAATATTTAGATGGTTACTGCAAGGCACTAGTTCCTTTGGTCTGTATCTTCATGGGGTTTTTTGCTTGAATCAGTGTTGAAGACTTGCATAGCAACAGTTTTCTAGAGGTCCTTAACTAATGCAGATATTTTCCAGAATATTTTCCATCTGCATGCATAAATGAGATGTTAAGGTACTTTTCTCTGAAAGGATGTCATTTTCTACAGGAACATGAGAAGTGCACTGCCAACTAGAATTTCCTTGATGGATTCGGGGTTATAACTGTCTATATTAGCACCAGACTAGGAGAAGCTTCTCTATTCATTTTCTGTTTCTTTAAAAATTGCTTTGTGCAGGTATCCATTCCACACATGTGTACTCCTAAAGAGTTACATTCATGGTTTATCATCTAAATACAATTTTTTTCATCTTAATTTGTATGGTTCTCAATGAGTCTGAGTATAGGGTTTGCAGTTCATGAGTGTTACACTTGACAAACTGAGTGTGTATGCTTCTGTCTCTAACGTCTTTGTGCAACTACCTAACATTCTATGTTCAAATGTGAGTGTTCTCTGGAGATATAGATGTCAATGAAATGGTTTGTGCAAGTTAGAGCTGTATCTGTTTGCAAACTATAATGCGTGTGAGTGCTATGTCCTCTTCATTAATACACATGGTATAAAAATACTGAAGCTCATTCTTCCCTTGTTGGGTGTCAAACACTTACAAGTGTTGTGACATGGACCTTGCCATCAAATAAGTACAAAAATCTCCATATGTTACCATGATAGTTAGTTAGATGTTGGTGCTTATTTGGTCAGAATGTGGAAGTGGATGAATGTGTTGTCTGGATGGTGAGATGACCACTACCATCTAGATATGTTCAGTTAAATTACAGAAAACCAATGATTCTAACAACTTGGGAAATTATCTCCCATTGCTGGAACCTGGGTACAGGAAGAGGAAAATGTGTCCTCGAAGTTCTCAGTAATGGTGGCAGAGAATACTGCAATCTCTTCTGCTCTTTTCCATTATAGGAATGCCACAGGTCAGTGCCAATGAAATACACCATGATGGTTTCATTGCTTCCAACTTTATAAATTCTTTCTTTCAATCCAACATAAGAAGAACGTGTTAAAAACAAGGTTGACTGTATGTTGTTGTATATTATTACACAAAGTGAAGTATGAGAAGATAGGGCATATTTTTCACTCCAAAAATTGTTGGTACTTAAAAATTTGGAATACAAAAGCCAGTCTGCAATGCTATCTTCCATCCTTCAAATGGTAAAAGTGCTTGCCATCTTCTGAAAACATCAATGTTGTCAAGAGGACCTCTTATCTGGACCTCAGATTGCCATTTGTATAAGTCCATCACAGAATTCAGAGACTTGTTCTCATCATCAATCATTACAAGCCCTCACTTAAGACATGAGTGATTTCAATCCTACAGGAAAGCTGGAAAAACTACTATTTTTTACTTAGAAATGGTTGGTCAGGACTGTGCAGCTGGTTTGTTGTTCAGGTTCCAAACAGAGTTACTGAACCACACAGAAAAACATATTGGCTCCTGCTTCATAAAGCATATATGAGGTGAAACAAGGTCAATGTCCAGTTTCCTCGAGTTATTTATATGAAAGAGAAAATTTGCAGAGATTTTGATCGGCTCATTTTATAAAGCGAAGTCTATTTTACAAAAAAAAACATGGATTAAATATTAAAAACAACATCACAGATGGCAAAAGTGATCCTCTAATTAATTTTTAGAGGCATTCCATCTTTTGGATTTCATGAGATTATATTCATCATGAGATGCTTGCTACATTTCTCTTCCTCCTCTACCAGATTGCCCCTTTGTTTTCATCCTCATCTCCCTCATATTACCATTGCATTTCTCCTGTGTCTCACAATTAATTATTGATTTTCTATTTTGTCAAACAACTCGGAAAATTTTGGAAAATCATGAAATGTGCATCCCAATGCCATCGTCTTCATGGATGTGTATCTGATATGTTATGCCAACAGTAATATCAGCAGCATCTTCATTGCAGGGTTTGTGGTTTGTGAATTTCTGTCTGGATAAGATCTCTGTATGTTATACAACCATTTTTAATTGTTCTTTGAATTTCCTAAAGTTCAGTTTTATTAATCTTCCAATAGAACAGGTTTTTATTAAACAAAAATTCTTGCTTATTTGTGCAATCATGAGCCTCGTGAGGTTCTCCTTTTGCTTGCAATTTTGTGAAGAAGTGTAGTAAAATGTTATCTCATGCCATAAATAGTAAAATACAACTTTTGAGTGCTTTCCCATAAAAAATATACTTAGAGTCACCCTTCTATCAGGCAAAGAAAACAAATAGTGAAAATTCTGAGAAAACATATTTAGGGTTCACTGCCTGTGTAATCAGAAAAGTTGACTATTAAACTGTGTTCTCTGTCCTACAGGGGGATATAAAGTAAATGGTCCCCCTTGTATTTCTCAGAATTATGAAGCAGGTATAAAGGAGACTCTGAGGTTCCCAGTTTAAAGAAAAATGAGATAGGAAATCATGAGAGGCATTTAAATTGAATATGGAACATTCAACTTAGAAGAGAAAGCTTGTGAGTGAGGTGATTAAAGAGATAATACAAAATGCCTTTGACACAACTGGGGTCTTTTCAATGAAGAAGCACACAAGGATCAATAATATTTGGTAACAATGTATGAGACTTGACAAGGGAATTCTAATCTATGTGACATAGAATTCTTGGAGAATATAATGTGATAAATGTGATCAATTTAACGCAAATGAAAACATAATTCCCAAGACAGGAAAAATGTAGAAACCGTATTCTTTGAATGCATAGGTACTGAAGTCCTCAGTGATACAAAAGAGGTACCTAGAAAATGGAAATTGATTCAATACTTACTATCTCACCTAAGGTAAACAAGCCTGTTCGATTCTAACCTGCAACAAAATAGACATAAAATATGGCACACATGGAACTCTGTCCAAGCTACTCTGTCAATCTTCAATTGATAGAGCAAGTGGTCCTCAAACACAGAAAAGATATAGGATCTAGAACAAAGATGTTTGTTCTGACTACTTCCACAACATTGTGTAAAGGCATAATGAGAATGTGTTAATAGAAAGGAGGCCAGACAATCATTGTGACATTTATGACAATATTAAGAGTATCAGAAAGGCACTAATTCCTTTGATATGTATCAATGGGGGTTTATTGCTTGGTGTGGCGCTGAAATCTTGCCCAGCAACAGCATTGTACATGCCCTTCTTATTGGAGATATTTTCCAAAATATTTGGCAATTGCACCGAGAAACAAAATGGTGAGCTTATTTTCTCTGAAAGAAATGCATTTTCACACAGGAAAGAGATCAGCCCCTCCAAGACCCCAACCCAGCGAGCCCAGCTTCAGGTGAGATTGGGTCTCTGGCTGGGACCGCCCGCCCATCACCCATCCCCCTCCATCTTCAGGGCCGCTCCCGGCTTCCAGAAGAGCTGCCCACACAGAAAAGAGATCAGCCCCTCCAAGACCCCAACCCAGCGAGCCCAGCTTCAGGTGAGATAGGGTCTCCGGCTGGGACCGCCCGCCCATCACCCATCCCCCTCCATCTTCGGGGCTGCTCCCGGCTTCCAGAAGAGCTGCCCACACAGGAAAGAGATCAGCCCCTCCAAGACCCCAACCCAGCGAGCCCAGCTTCAGGTGAGATAGGGTCTCCGGCTGGGACCGCCCGCCCATCACCCATCCCCCTCCATCTTCGGGGCCGCCCCCGGCTGCCAGAAGAGCCGCCCACACAGGAAAGAGATCAGCCAGTCCAAGACCCTAACCCCAGGGAGCCCAGCTTCAGGTGAGATTGGGTCTCCAGCGGGGACCGCCTGCCCATCACCCATCCCCCCACGATCTTCTGGGCTGCTCCCGGCATCCAGAAGAACCGCCCACACAGGAAAGAGATCAGCCCCTCCAAGACCCCAACCCCAGGGAGCCCAGCTTCAGGTGAGATTGGGTCTCCAGCGGGGACCGCCCGCCCATCACCCATCCCCCCGCGATCTTCTGGGCTACTCCCAGCATCCAGAAGACCTAACCACACAGGCAAGAGATCAGCCCCTCCAAGACCCCAACCCAGCGAGCCCAGCTTCAGGTGAGATTGGGTCTCCGGCTGGGACCTCCCACCCATCACCCATCCCCCTCCATCTTCGGGGCCGCTCCCGGCTTCCAGAAGAGCTGCCCACACAGGAAAGAGATCAGCCCCTCCAAGACCCCAACCCAGCGAGCCCAGCTTCAGGTGAGATACGGTCTCCGGCTGGGACCACCCGCCCATCACCCATCCCCCTCCATCTTCGGGGCCGCCCCCGGCTGCCAGAAGAGCCGCCCACACAGGAAAGAGATCAGCCAGTCCAAGACCCCAACCCCAGGGAGCCCAGCTTCAGGTGAGATTGGGTCTCCAGCGGGGACCGCCTGCCCATCACCCATCCCCCCACGATCTTCTGGGCTGCTCCCGGCATCCAGAAGAACCGCCCACACAGGAAAGAGATCAGCCCCTCCAAGACCCCAACCCCAGGGAGCCCAGCTTCAGGTGAGATTGGGTCTCCAGCGGGGACCGCCTGCCCATCACCCATCCCCTCACGATCTTCTGGGCTGCTCCCGGCATCCAGAAGAACCGCCCACACAGGAAAGAGATCAGCCCCTCCAAGACCCCAACCCCAGGGAGCCCAGCTTCAGGTGAGATTGGGTCTCCAGCGGGGACCGCCCACCCATCACCCATCCCCCCGCGATCTTCTGGGCTACTCCCGGCATCCAGAAGACCTACCCACAGAGGAAAGAGATCAGCCCCTCCAAGACCCCAACCCAGCGAGCCCAGCTTCAGGTGAGATTGGGTCTCCGGCTGGGACCTCCCACCCATCACCCATCCCCCTCCATCTTCGGGGCCGCTCCCGGGTTCCAGAAGAGCCGCCCACACAGGAAAGAGATCAGCCCCTCCAAGACCCCAACGCCAGGGAGCCCAGCTTCAGCCCGCAGTAAGGAAGGAGACCAGTGGAGACAGAAAGACTCCACAAGCAACCACTGGAAGAAGAGATGGGAAGAAGACAGAATAAGAGAACACTCAGCAATAGAAACACCAACATGACCCCACCAGAATCCAGGGATCCAACACCAGCAAGTCCCGAAAAGCACTACATAGATGAAGAAGAGGAGACAGACCTTAAAAATTATTTCATGAAGATGATGGAGAGCCTCAAAGAAGAAACGAGGAAATCCCTTAAAGAAATAGAAGAAAAAACAAACAAAAAATCCATGAAATGGGGGAAAAATTTCAAGAAATAAACAAATCTCTCAAAGAATCTAAAGAGCACCAAGAAAAAACAACCAAGAAAATTAAGGAAACAGCTCAAACAGTTGAAGGATTGAAAGCTGAAATAGAAACGATAAAGAAAACACAGAATGAAGGGATGCTGGAAATAGAAAAGCTCGGTAAACGGTCTGGAACTACAGATGCAAGTATCACCAATAGAATACAAGAGATAGAAGAGAGAATCTCAGGTGTTGAAGACTCATTAGAGGATATAGAGTCGTCAACCAAAGAAAATCTCAAAACCAACAAATCCTTAACACAAAATATCCAGGAAATATGGGACACCATGAAGAAGCCAAACCTGAGAATAATAGGTATAGAAGAAGGTGAAGAACTTCAACTTAAAGGTACAGAAAACATATTCAACAAAATCATAGAAGAAAACTTCCCTAACCTAAAGAAAGATATGCCTATGAAAGCACAAGAATCTTACAGAACACCAAATAGGCTTGACCAGAAAAAGAAGTCACCTCGCCATATAATAATCAAAACATCAAACCTACAGAGCAAAGAGAAAATATTAAGAGCAGCTAAAGAAAAAGGCCAAGTAACATACAAAGGCAGACCTATCCAAATTACACCTGACTTCTCAATGGAAACGATGAAAGCCAGAAGATCCTGGTCAGATGTCCTACAAACGCTAAGGGAACAAGGATGCCAGCCCAGACTACTATATCCAGCAAAGCTCTCAATTACCATAGATGGAGAAAACAAAATATTCCATGACAAAGCCAGATTTAAACAATACGTATCCATGAATCCAGCTCTACAGAAAATGCTAGAAGGAAAACCAAGAGCCAAGGAAGATAACTACATTCACAAAGACACAGGCAATATGTAATCATACTTTACAAAACACTAAAAGAAAAAGGGAGGAGAAACAAAACAAAATAACTTCACTAACAATAAATCAAGCACAAACAAGGATCACCAATCAATGGTCATTAATATCCCTCAATGTCAACGGCCTCAACTTGCCTATAAAAAGACACAGACTAGCAGAATGGATACGAAGACAGAACCCTTCCTTCTGCTGCATACAAGAAACACATCTCAA